GGGAGAGCAATGTCGTGTGGTGCGGCCACAGCAGTTTCCTCTCCTCCCAGGGGGAATGTTCTTCCTCTCCTCGTAGTGCTGCTGCAGCCTGTGAGCTACAGCAGAGCCCTGGCAGGGAAGGAGGTGTCAGCATCGGGCTCTTCTTGTCCCCCCTCCAGGGAAAAAGCCATGCCGGCGCCCCTGGTACCAGTACATCTGCTTGGACGTGCCAGAGCTTCTGCACCCTTCAGCAGAAGAGGAGGAAGCCCCAGAGCTGGCGAGGCCAAGCCAGGTCCCCGCAGATCTCTGGACAGCAACAGCTCCACAGCCAGAGGGTGAGCTCCAAGAAAGTTTACGCAGCTCCTGCAGTCCCCGGGGAGCTGGCCTTGTCCTGTCACCAACCTGCTGGTTCCCAGAGCTCTTTTCCCCCAGAAATGGAGGCCTTGCCCCACACCCTTGTAGATGTTTTCACCTTCTCCTGTTTTTTCCACCCTCATCTGTAGCTTTTAGAGCAGTGGTGTGGATGTATTTGCGTCACCATTTGCAGCAGCTCTGCCCTTAGGTTTTCTCTCGAAGCTCTGAGGTGGCCCAGCCAGAGCAGGACCCTTGCCCCCAGGCCAGCACTCTTCAGCTGACTCCACTGCATCAGGGTTCCAGAGATGTCTTCCAAGACTTGGTGGAACAAAGCTGTGGCTGGCCTGAGCTGGAGCTGGTGACAGACCTGCTCCGAGCAGGAGGTCCCGAGTCAGGCCATCCCACGCACGCCGCTGGGACCTGGCATCCTGCTGGAACACTCGGCCTGTCTCCGAGGAGGTGGCTGGGCTGTTGATGCGCTTGCTCCTCTTACAGATACCTGGGCCAGCAGCGTTCTGGAGACCCTAGCCTTGGGAGCAAGTGATGGATCCATGCAGGTTGATGTCGATACGATGCTCGGACACGCAGCTTACGGGGTGCCACTGCTCTTCCCTCAGTATCAATAGCCACGCGGCTGGTTGGTGACCAGCACCTGGCCCACACCAACTGCTGCGGGGTCACTCTTGTTTGGTTTTTTCCCCTGGTTGCAGAGAGCCCGATTTGCCTGGGGGCAGGGGGAAAGGCAATTTTTCATTATAAAATAAACCTGATGCCACTTGGCCTTTAGGACGTGTGTGCTGTCGTTCCTCCTTCCTCTGTGAAAAGCAGGAGCAGCGCTGAAATCGGCTCCTGGAGCTTGTCCCGGCGAGGGCCCCAGGAGGCTGCAGGCAGCCCCCGAGACGCCCCCTTCACCTCTCTGTACACTTCTGCGGTTGGATCTCCTGCTCACCCAGAGGTCTTGGCACCTTCATTCCTTCTCTGGTGTCGAGAGGTTTTGCTTCCTTCTCCTGTAGAAAGAGCTGTGCTGCTGACAAAGGCACGGAGGGTCTGGGTTCAAGGAGGACAGCTTCAAGACTTCAGATCCAAAACTGGCACGAAATAAGCCAGAGCTGTTCTGCTGGAATGAGGGTGTTGACTCTCCTGCTTTACACAGACATGAGATGCTCAGAGCCACGGCAGGGACGCCAGCCCTCTCTCTACCTGTAAAGGGAGGTTTGCAGAGATGCAGCTCTCCCTGCTCCACCCGCTGCAGCTGGGAACAGCGAATAAACTTCAACCATTTCCTTTCTGCAGCCAGCTCGCAGGAGAGACAAGGTTGTGCAGAGCACAGGAGCAGCCACGCTCCTACCTCCTACCTTTTACAACAGCTCGTCCCTAGACTTGTTTAAAGTAAATACCCAAAGGTAAATACCTGATTTACACGCAGAAAGCAGTCCTGTCAACACTGCAGGGACTTTGCTGCTTAGTTAGAGTCTTCCAGCAATTTCTACAATAAGTCAGACAGAAAAATTAAAGATTTTGTTCATCACAAAGTCCAAGATAAGCAAGGTGCCCCCCGAAACCAGCTCTACTCAACAGCTGTAGCCCGAGGGAAACAGCAAAGAGGTGGGAAATAGATCTTGAGGAGGGACTCACTTCCCCTTGGTGAGAAATGACACTTGCTAGGAGAGCACGGAGCTATATTGCGAAATATCGCGGAGGCTTTTCCACGCGCCAGCTCCCCAGCTGGCAGCAAAAGGGCACAGAAGCAGGGACTGAGCCCCAGCTGCAAGTCTCCTGGTTCATTAGAACGACGTCTGCTTGAGCAAATCAAACACAAGCTCACAGCTGCTTAAAGAGGGCCCTCAAACAGCACAACTTTTTATTTCGGTAGAAAACAAGGTAACTTTTCTGAAAGGGCCAGCTTATGAAACAGCAGTTTGCATGTTAATATACATAAATACACAAGGGTTACAATTTAGTGGGAAATAGATTTTTTAAAAATAAAAAAAAAGCTTTCAAGTATACAAAACAAACGTAGTAAAATTGGACTAGCCCTTCCACACAGCTGCCTCAGGAGAGAAACGCTTCTCGAATGGAACGAGCTTCCACCCACCACCCGCACACAGGTCACGAGCTGCAGGGGGGCACGAGGACGGGCAGGGCCAGAGGGTTTAATATCCAGTGTTTGAGATTAAGAGCAGACTCACCCACGACAGCTCAGCCCTCATTCTCTCAACTATCAGGACGTGTAGTGTGACAACGACCCAGCCAGCGTTTTAAGGGAGCTGCAAGAGGAAGGAGCTTCCTCCTTACTTCCACCTCCAGGTCCTTGGCAGGTTAACGCTGGACCACTTCATTCCCCGTGACTCTGGGAACAGTCACAGAAATGAGAACGCAGCCCCGCCTGGCAGTAAACACAAGCGACGGACACAGAGCTTACGGGAAAGAACCAAAAGGTGCCAGGTGCAGGCAGCCTCTTGAGTAGAAGGAATAACTCTGGAAGAACAGCACGAATCATCGCAGGCTTCCCCGAAGGCTGTCCTGCCAAGATGCTGTCAACAGAGATTTCACAGCATCACTTCAAAAATCCTCGTTTAAACGAATCAGAAAGACAGTTGCCACATGCAGGAAGCCAAAGGGCTGATCCTTACGTTACAAAATTCAATCCGTTCCTTCTACTTTTTGTCCTATAGGAGTTGAGAGACCCGTTACAGCACTAAACTCTTTTGTAAAATTTTACAGACCAAGGAGTAAAACCATTGGTCTCCACAAGAGAAGGAAAAGGCATCTGAACAACAGAGACTCCCTGACGTTGCTCTGCGTGCTCTCACTTTAAAACTGTTAAAATAAGCAACCCGTGCAAGAGGGGTCCCATTTCCAAGCCCTGCGGCGGCAGAGATCCCACGCTTCACTTCGGCTACTGCAAGTGCAAAGGGCAATTCAAGTTTTCCTACCAGTCTCCACGACAAAAATTAAAACGATTGTAGAAACGGAAACACTTAAAACTCTTTCAGCAACTTAATCAGAACCGCTTCTATCAGAACATGACATATTTCACAGGTTTTAAAAAAAACCAACAAAAGGAATTGGAGTTATTAAATAAGAATCTACATATCTTAAAAACAGAGAGGTTTCGTAACACTGCAGCCAGAAGCGTCCGCTGTCCTATCTCCCGAAGCAGGACTGTTCATAAGTTATTTCTCTGAAGCGCCTCGCAGAGGTTCTGATTGGCATCCGGCTCCTCGGTCATCATCTCCACAGCCTCCCACTCCCCCGACCTGCTGGATTTCTTGATGGCCTCCACCACGCTCTGCATGTACAGCCCATCTTCGAAAGAGGCTGCCATCGAGACGGGTTTGTGATCCCACGTCCGACGGTCTTCCTGGTCCTGGAAAGACTGCCGCAGCGCTTGCACCATGTACACCATCCCTTTTAGGTAAAGCAGCGGGATGTCTTTAAACCCCTTCTCCAAAAGGCCCTTGTTGACAGTCAGAGAGTCCGTAAAGAGCAGCTCTTCTTGGGGCGCGGTGTTCTTCTGCCCGTACAAGTCCGTGCCGCGAGCCACGAGGCGACCGGATCATCACCTCGTGGACGAACGACCCGGGCATGTTGAAGTTGAGAGTCACGGTGCAGCAGACGCCTTCGCTCATCAGCATCTGGAAGAAGCAGAAGTCGTCGCTAGTGACGTGGCGGATCCCGCTGATCGCCGTGTTCTGCTTCACAAAGGTCTTGAGCAAACCGTGGACCTTCTGCGCTCTCCTGCCGATGAGGTGAGTGAGGAGGTCGATGATGTAGGTGCCCACGGTGTGCAGCCCGCCTCCTCCCATCAGCTCGTCGCAGATCCAGTTGTACTTGTGGCTGAGCAGGCTTCCCCCGTAAACTCGGACGTCGCAGATCATCACGTTGCCCACGTAGCGCTCGTCTATCAGCTGCTTCATCTTCACAAAGGCGGGCAAGAAACGGAGGACGTTGCCAACGATGCTCATCAGCTTGGGGTAATACCTGGCAGCTGTGACCATCCTGAAGGCATCCACAGAGGTAGCAGCTTTCTCACAGATCACATTCTTCCCTATTCCTGCAGCACGAATGAAAAAAAAATATATATATATATAACACACATGAATGAAACACGTTCAGATGCCCCAAAGGTTCTCAAGAGCAAGGATTTTAAGAGCTGGGCTTTCCTCCAGCAGTTTCAAAGGCAAAGGTCTGAGAACTGAAATAGGAACGCCGAGTGCAGCAAGAGCACAGAGCTGCTGCCAAGATGCTCCGGTGGCGGAGCTGACAAACTCCCACAGAGAGAGGTTCCACATAAAGAGAGGATTTTTACGGAGTGAAAGATAAACGGCCAAACTGCATCAAAACAAGACACTAGAAAATCAGCGTACACTAGACAATCAGCTGAGTGCCTGCACAGCCAGAGGAAAAAAAACCTCAACAAAACCAAGAGATCATCATGTACCCTGTGGGGAAGGGGTGAGGTAAAGGCAGATTTGATTTTCACTTTGTGTTTCCCCATCACTAGGAATTTACCCCTCCTTCCCCCTTTTCTCGTGGCATGGCTTAACTTTTCCATATTTCTGATGAAATATTTTTCAATATAACAACCAGGGGTACACCTAGAAGTCTCCAGACATCAGCTGGTGAGGTCAGACCTAGAGGTCAGCCACCTCCTATCGCAGTTTCTGCCCCAGAGCTGCAGGAATCGCCGCGTGTTGTGGCAGGAACCTCTCAGAAAGCTGCTCCTTGCCCAGGAGCACAGCCCGCTCCCTGCTCAGAACCGCTTCTCATCGACTGCCCGACGAGAAGACACAAGCACAACCACTTCTGTGGGTGTCCGGCACATGAGGGGAAGTCAGATCTCAGGCTGCAGCTCCTGCTCTCAGCACTCCACCTCCTGGCTGCACCCGGCAAGCTTCGGGGGAACCCTCCGAGCCCCTTGGGAACCCTCTGAGCCCCCAGCCAGCCCCTTGGGAACCCCTCGAGCGGGCCAGGGGCCAGCCAGCTCCCGTGACACATCGCTGTGCCCAGCTCAGCCAGGGGACAATTAGAGCCAGAGAACTCGGAACCTGCAGTTCCAAAAAAGACACCAGCAAAATCAAGTCACTAAATGACAAGGCTACTATTTTTCACGGTCTTGTCTAAAAAAGTCCCTTAAACAGAGGTAGCTGACAAAGCTTTAATGAACAACGGGTAAGGTCACACTCCCTGAGGACACTGGTTGCCCACCGGTAATCCCTTGTGTCAGGGGCCACTTCCAACTTCCCCGTTCCCAATCCTGCTGCTGAGCCGAGGCACAACATTCTGTTCAGGGATCTGCAGGGCACCCCGACACCCCAGTGCCTGGCTCACCTGGGCAGCACAGCAGCTCCACTGAAGCTCTCCTACTCATCGCTGTTCAGCTGGTTGTTGCAGTAAGAGGGAGGGAAAAAAAAAGAGAAGGAAAGGGCACCACTGCCAGGAGTCCTTAAACAAACCACCTACTGCCATGTTCGTGGCAAAAGTACCTGCTAGATCCCACGAGTCTTCAAATCAATTCCTCATTCAGTAACTAAACGTTCAAACCGAAGTTTTGGGACTCTCATTATTGTAACACAGCATATCAAGGCTTCACTCAGTGAAATACCAGATTTAAAGCGTGTTCACACCCTATGGAAACAATCAAAACCCAACAGGTGAGCCGACACTTATTGAATGGCAGAATGAACCAGGCTCTTTTCTCCTAAAGGAACCTTGCACCCCTAGTCAGATCCACGCTGTCCAGCAG